AATAGGTCCACTTCGGAAACTCATAAGCAGGGAAAGCCATAGACACAGATTATAATTTCAGGGTTTCTGGAAAGGACTGCTATCTCTTCCTTACTCTTGGCTAGACCCTTAAATTCCAAGTTTAGTTCATTATTTTACCTTAAGATTTATATTTCTGTTAAATTGTTGATTTGTTTTAAATTTTCTATTGATTAAACTCAAGATGAATTTGTTTGTCAGCTATTTTTATGCGAATAACTAGACCAGTGGTTTTCTACTTATTTTGCCTCTAGACTACTCATGTGGGAAACATCACCATTATTTATGTCTTTTCATGACACACAATTACTTTGAGTCGGACTATAGTATGTTGTGGGAAGTTTCTTATCAGAATCTGGGGGAGTGAGTATAGTTAGCAAAAGCCATTTCTTTCTTCCTTCCTTCCTCCCTCCGTCCCTCCCTCCTTCCCTTCCTTCCTTCCTTCCTCCCTCCCTTCCTTCCTTCCTTTCTTTTTTAGCCATTTCTGATGCCCCCTCTCAGGCTTCTGCCCAGACCACTCCACAGCCTGGATCACCACATAGACCAAGAGTTTCTTGAAGGCAGGGATTCCCTGTAAAGCCCCAACATTGAGCCCAGTCCTTGGCCCACAGGATGTTCTTCATAAATATTTGTCAAGTAAATACAGATATTGATGGAGTAAGAGTGTAAAAAGATACTAGAGACCTGGATGTTTGGATAAAACAACTAGTAAGAAGCGGAAATGTTAACTACTTCCCAATGTGTCAAAGGCTAGCTTGTGGGGAGACAACATGTATAAAATTATAACAACATCTAACTCTTATCAGGAGTTTATTATGTGTCTGTCACTGTGCTAAGCAATATGCATTATCTCATTTAATGTTCACAGCAATCCTAAAAGATATGTACTGTTATTATTCCATTTTATAGATGTGGGAACTGAGTTTCAGAGAAGTAAGGTAGCTTGCCTACAGTCACACAACTGAGAAATGGTAGGGCATGGTCTCAAACCCAAGCAATCTGAATCCAGACCCCCAGTGCCATAGTGATCCAAAAACTTGGGGCGCCTGGGTGGCTCAGTCGGTTAAGCATCCAACTTGGGCTCAGGTCATGATCTCACAGTTGGTGAGTTTGAGTTTGAGCCCAGAGTCAGGCTCTGTGCTGGACAGCTCAGAGCCTGGAGCTTGCTTTGGATTCTGTGTCTCCCTCTCTCTTGTGCCTTTCCTTGGCTTGTGTTCTCTTCCTCTCTCTCTCTCTCTCTCTCTCTCTCTCTCTCTCTCCCTCTCTTTCTCAAAATTTCAAAAACTGAAGTGCCTGAACACTGAGCACTGCATCAGATCCTTATCATGGCTTTTCTTTCCCCTTCGCCACATGCCACACACCCCCCTCCCCATTTGGACATTTCTCCAAATGTTTCCAGACTCTAGATGTTTCATCACTCCTTTTTTCCAACCTCAACCCCATCTTCAGAAATATGTGATTCTCTCACCCATCCTCTCTCAGGAACCCTCCCTCACTATGACAGCATCAGAGACTGGAAGATTTATTTCATTAGAAACACTCAGGGAGACTCTCCACCTTTGAGGAATGCCCGAGATCCACTCCCCTACCCACAGCAATCTAAGCACTCCTCACAGCCTTCTCCAGAGAGCCCACCTTCAGAGTCCCTCAGCCCAGGGCTCTGTTCTCCCCACCCCACACCTCCTTGTTGTTGCCTACTCCATTTGTGTCTCCTGGCACCTTTCAGTAGTTTTCCATTATGTGAGCTGACTAAAGCTAATGGGAGGGCCTAAGATCAGGGGTCCCAAGATGACCAACCTTTTCAACCCTCAGTAAAGCACTTGGTAAAGGCTGAACTTCTGAGCACCAGGCCTGATTTCCATGGTGACACCCTTGGGGATTGTTGCCATGGTAATGCTGGAGAGACACTGGCCATGGTGAACATTACCTCTCCTCTCTATTTTCCTTTATGAGACTCCCCCAAAGCTAAAGGGAGACCTGCTCCCCCTCTTCAGATATCAAAGGAATCCTAGGCCACCCCAAACAATACTGACTCTTATCCAATAACCCATCAGGTCCCAACCTAGCTTTTCCAAATAAGGTACTTGATGGTCCTGGATTTTTGCCTGCTTTTCTAAATGAAGTACTTGACAGTTCTGGATTTTGCCTGCCTACTAACCCATTAGGAGACCAGAGGGAGGAAATATTGTGGACACTTGAATGAATGAGGGAGAGAGCAACAGGGGGAGGGAGGGAGAGTGCATTGTCTTCTCTTACTATCATCCCTCCCATGTCTGGTATAGAGGCAACAACAGCCCAGACAGCAGGCACCAGGACATTTTGCCCACCAAGACCAAAGCAGAGAAACACTTAAATGGGTCCAGTGAAAAAGTCACACTGGGTTCTGAGTGACACAGAGAGCAAAACAAGGTACACAGCACACAGACAGTGACCCAGACACCCTTCTACTATGACTCAGGCCATTAACTTTGGCTAAGTCCCATCCCCCAGATTGCTAGGAGAAGTCAGGGGAATGGGGGAGGGATAGGGCTGAAAGAGCTATCTTTCTAGCTTATTTGCCAAGCAGAAAAAGCCCACAAACACTAGGGACTCTGAAGCCCAGAGCTAGCCGCAGTGCCGCAGAGGCAGAGAGGAGAGCCATTAGAGAAAGGAGCAGGGACTGGGTTTGGAGAGATTATTGTCTCCCCTTCACTCTTCCCTCACCTTCCTGAAGCAGCTTCCTCCATTAATTCCTCAGATGCTGGGCCCCAAAGGGAGACCGAGGAGGAAAGAGGAAAGTGGGTAGGGGATTTCCTCCCCTTGGTGGGACTCAAGGTTCGCCTCAGAATCCCTTCTCCTATAGCCCTCCTCCTCCCAAATGAGCAAGGAACAGTCAGCTTGGGAAGGCAAGCTCCAAGGACGCTGCCTGAGACAAAATGGCCCCCCCAGCAGCATCTATCTCGGCCAGAGAGATTGACAGGAAGGGCTTGGGCAACGGAATATACACAGTGAGACAAAGGTGCAGCCCTGCAAATATCAGGCAAAACAGACAGGGAAGGACCAGCTGTGGAACTAAGATAGAATCTGAATTGGCAGGGGGCCCTGGGCCTCTCTTCATCTCTCCCCCTTCTCCACCTTCTACCGTGTCTTTCCTGTTTAGCAAATTGGACAGATCAATACCACCACTCCTTCTCCCAACATCACCCCATGCCCCATGCCCGCCACACCAGGATGGCCTGAGAGCCTAAAGGAGTTTTTCAGACTTACCTGAAAAAAATAAAGCAAGGAAACTAGGCTTCACAGTAGAAGCCTTTTGTGGATGGGCTCTCCCATGACCACCTCCCTCCTGTTTCTCAGCCTTCATACCTCAGGGGACCATCAAGCTCTAACTCTCACAGCTAAAGCTTGCTGTCCAGACTACTTGGAGAGGAGCCCCCAGGCTGATCATGTTAGCCTGGCCAGACAGACCAGACTTTAAAGCCTAAGGCCCTTGAGGCAAAGAAAGACAAGAGCCCTCTGTATGTGGTGAACACACACATATGTAAGCACACACACAAGGCAGAGGCACCCATTTGAGTTCAGTTGGTGACAGCTCAGCATGGTGACAGACTGGGGTCCTTGGGGACGGGACATACAAGCAGGCTCTTCTTAAAACATGTTTATTCAAAGTCCCATTCTCACTGATTCAAAAGGCTCATGCTCCCTCCCCATGTTTCCTTAATTCCTTTAATAAGCATGCCTTGTGCCAAGCACTGTGGACCAAAGATATATAAACAGTGCTCCTGACCTTGACAGCAGTCCTCATATGTGCCCCTCCCTTCTCCAATTGGCTGCAATTTCCTGGCCCAGCACCCCTCAAAGCCTTACAGGACTCGACACCCAGATCCTTTCACCCCATAGCCTGACATCCCTACCAACCTCGGAAAGGAGGGTTGGGTGAAGAATTCCCTAGCAATTCCCTTTAGGCCATCACAGATAAAGGTCCAGAAGAGAAATCTGCAGAGGCAGTGTGATAGGAAAATCTATGAGCTTTGGAGTTACAGATTAAGGTTCAGATCCATGAGTTAACAGTGTGACCTTGAGAAAGTCATTCAACTTCTTTGGGCCTCAATTTCCTCATCTGTAAAATGGAAACATTAATACCTACTTCAGAGTGTTGTTTTGAGGATTAAATAATACACGTCAAGTAACAAACCCACAGGAAACATCAGTCCTCCTTAACAAGATCTCCTCCACGGATAGGGCTGTCATGATGAGGTAGAAGCCACTTGCTACTTTTTTTACTGGATCATCAAGAGAAAGGATGAATAAGCAAGTACCTATCAAGACCTCAGGATTTGGTTATTTTTATTTGTTAGGGGGGATTGGGGTGTCTGAAATCCTCTTCCTACTGTACCTGGGAGGGAAAGGCAGACATTTCCTTAGGACCCCAGAGCCCCCTTCCCCGACTGGGTGTGGCATCAATGTATTCCTCAGAAAACCCTTCATCAGATCTGTGCCCTCCGCCCCAGTCTAGGCTGCAACTACTTCAGGGGCTGACGGAGGGCTTGGTCCTAGAGCCCACTCTCATTTTATACCTCCACCCGCAGAAGCCCTGGACTGCCCACCTGTCATCTAGCCCATCCACTGGTCTACCCCCTCCCTTCCTGGGAGGTGGGGGTAGAGATCCGAGCCAATAACAAAGGGAAGATGCGCTTTCTCTAGGGGAGAGGGAAAACATCAGAAAAACATGGGACCGGCTCTGAGGGGTGCGGACGCTGCAGCGAGCAGCAAAGGGGAGTTGGGTCCCCCGACTGCGAGGAAGTAGCCCCCTCCCACTCTGCGGAGACTTGGCCACCAGCCTGGCCAGGCCACACCCAGTCATCCTGATGCAGGGGAGAGGAGGGGCTGCGGCGGAGGATGGAGGCTGAGCGGCGGGGAGGGGGTGCAGTGACAGCCAGGGGCTAAGACTCGGCGGGGGCGGGGTAGAATCTTCCCAAATTCTCTCCCGGGGCGACACTCACCCCAATAACGACGCTGTCGTCCCCTTGGAAAATTGGGATGAACTTGTCTCCCCGCAGAATCTCGGCCTGGTTCAGGGGCCGAAATCGGCAGAGCACCTTGATGCTGCATTCGTTGTTGGTCTCCGCCATGGTGGTCGCCGGCGACAGGCTGGGGCACTTCTCGGGCAGCAGGGCTGTGCGCGCTCCGGAGGAGGGGGGCTCAGCTGAAGCCGAGGCGGAGGACAGGTGCTCGGTCTCTGGGACCGAGGAAGCAGGTGGGGCGCCCGGGCGAAGGCTGGGGAGCAGGGCCGGGGCGCGCTTGCTCGCTCCTGCGGCACAGGGATGCAGGCGACCTGGGCGTCTGGTCCTCCTCTCTCGGCTCTCTGCCTCTCCGCCCCTCGCGCTGCAGCGCCGCGCTGCGGGCCTGGGCGGGGCGGCGGCGGGCGGGGCTTCCTTCGCGGGGGGCCTCCCGTTCGGCGTCTACCCGAAGGGGAGCCGGTTCTCTCCTCTCGCCTCCTCCCCCACCCCCGAAGCTCCTAGGTAACCTCGCCTTCACCCCTTCCCCACCCAAGTCACTCGCTGCATCCCAGCTCCCCACCTCCCTGGCCTGCCTGTCCCTCCCTCGGACTCCACCCCTCTGGAAGGGGTAAGGGGGCTGAGGTGGGCTTGTCGCCTGGGTAGGGAAGAGAGTCAACGGCGCTTGCACCCTTTTTATTCCGGGACATCCTCCTCCCCCACCCCCGCCCCGCCCCTGTCACTGTCCTCTCTCCATATTGAGAGCCTTCTTCTCATTCTCCATCCCCAACCCCCTCACACAAGATTCCCAACCCACTCAACTTTCAAGGGCAGCTGCCTATACCCCTGTGGAGGAGGGTGTCCAGGTCTCATTTTTCAGACAGGAGTGTCAGGGGAGAGGCTAGTCCCAACCCCTTCTACCTCCAAAGGTGCACTCGTTCCCCACTATACACACCAGGTCCCCGGTGTGAAGGAAAACAAACTCTGGTTCTGGGCTATTAGAATTCAAAAGCAGATAAAATTCTCATTTTTGCCTCCTAGGCTGGGGCTGGGCATAAGGTGGGCAGGAGAAGCTTTTGCAAGAGAAAGGGAGTCAGAAAACAATGAAGGAGGGGTAATGATGAGGGTGGGGAAGGCCACAAGGGCTTTGAGAACCTATAGGGCAGACCTCCGCCTTTAGGTTTCAGGCAGGTTTTGGCACCTATGTGTTTCCTGTCCAAGTTACCATTGGTCAGAGTCCCAACACCCCAGCCCCTTTCTCAGGCCTTGTTCTGTTTCTCCCCCTTCCCTAGCAAAATGAAAAAAGAAAACAAACAAAAAAAAGCCTTAGAGATTCTTTGTCCTTCCTCCCCTCAGGTCAGACTCCTGCTGCAGCCCCTGGGCAGAACCACCTAGAAGCTGGCCAAATTGATTTTTCTTCACGTCACAGGCCTTGCTAGCCAACAGAGAGTTGGACTGCAGGAGTTGAGGCTCTAGGCCAAGGGGAGGAGTGGGGTGATGGGAGAAGGGAGGAGGGGATGGAAGTTTTGCCTAGCAATTGTCTAAGGTCACTTGGACATTATGAGGCAAAAGTGAGAGAATGGTGGCCTGGCCAGACAAGAACTAACTGCACAGAACTCAGCTGAGGGCTTCCCCTTGTTGGGCCTATACCTCTAACCCACCTTGAATCTTAAGGAAACTAAAGAAAAAGGGTCCAGCATAAGAAACCGGATAGATGGATGGAAGAGGGGTAGAGGTTTGGGGAAAAAGCCAGGAGAGTATGCATAGAATGACAATGAGTTCCAAACTCAGGAACATCAGCATCTCTCCAGTCACTTGGTCTGGCACTATTTCTAAGTGTTGCAGCATCCTGAAAGCTCAGGAAGCCTTCTGGAAAACATCCCAAACTCAGGTCCCCAGGGACTCCAGGGTGGCAGCCGTAGTGGAGTTGCAAAAAATGCTTATCTTAAAAAAAAAAAAAAAAAAAAAAAAAAGCTTGTCTATGGAGGGTCAGGGACAAAAATGTACTGGGTATATGCCCCTCCCTCCCCCAAAAAAACCATCCACACACGATGCAGTAAGTTTTATATAAAGCTAGATTTATTAAGTTTCAAAGGATGGCCTTTCATTCTGAGAGTATGTCCTTCCTACTTTTCTACTAAGAAATGATGGTTATAGTAAACAGTGCTTTCTTTTTCTAGTGCAGTAATGGCAGAATTAATTTTAATTTTACTGAACTGTGAAAATTCAGAAGTATGAAAACTATTAGTGAAGCGGTTAAGAGCACAGAGGGTGTTCATGGGGCGCCTCTCACCCACAGAGGGTGCCTCAATAGGTTGAGCTTCGGACTCCGGCTCAGGTCACCATCTCCCAGTTCCCAAGTTGGCACCCCGCCTTGGGCTCTATGCTGACAGCTTTGAGCTGGGAGCCTGGATCCTGGTTCAGATTTTGTGTGTGTGTGTGTGTGTGTGTGTGTGTGTGTGTGTGTGTGTGTGTGTCTTTCTCTCAAAAAAAAAAAACATTTAAAAAAAAAGCACAGAGTGTGTTCAGACATACAGCTACCACTTACCTATTTATGAACTTGAGATGGGATTGCCAGATTTGAAAAACAAAACAGGATGCCCAGTTAAATTTGAATTTCAGATTAAAAACTATTAGTGTGTGTGTGAGTGTGTGTGTGTGTGTGTGTGTGAGTGTGTGTGTGTGTGAGTGTGTGTGTGTGTGTGTGTGTGTGTGTGTGTGTGTGTGTGTTAGTATATCCCAAAAATGATGTGGGGCATACTTATACTACAAAAACTATTATTTATCTGAAGTTCAAATTTGCCTAGGTGTCCTGTATTTTTTCTGATATCTCTAACTTGAGAAGATTATTTTCATTCCTAACATGACTAAGCCTTTACTAAATTTTACCTGCTATTATTGTTTTTGAAGCCCTTTCTGTGCCACAGCATGACAGGATGTGTGATTTTTATCTAGTCATTTAATTTCTGGAAGCCCAAACGAATTCTTCTGAAAAACAGGAATTATAAAACATTTATCATAGACCTGATGTAAAAATGAAAGAAAAGAAGTTGTGTGAAATAACTCCCAAGGCGCGTTATTGTCGTTCTCCGTCCAAGCCCCTATCGGCCAAGACTACATGTCCCATAATCCCAGGCTGCGTCCCTCGCCATTACTTCATTCCCTGGCCGCATTTTCGCCAATCCCGGCTTCTCCAGGGGTGTGGTAGCGGGTTGTTCTCGCGACTCTTGCCTTGCCCTTCTCTCTCCTGTGCGATTCCTGTCGCGAGACTTCCTGCTCTCCACCTCCTCCGCCGCTCCCTCTGCCGCCGCCTTAGCCCGGGACCCGGACCCAGCCTCTCCCCTACCCGAACACCGGCCCCGGCTCCGCCGAGGCCCCGGTCCCCCAACCCCGCCTCGCCGCCGCCATGGCGGACCCTAAGTACGCCGATCTTCCCGGCATTGTGAGTACAGGGCCAGCCCCGGCTCCCAGGACCGCACCCCCGACCTACTAAGGACCCCCAACAGACACTAACCCGTGACCCCTCCCGCCTGCAGCCCCTCCTCCGCCCCAGGGTTCCAGCCCCTGGCTCCCCGACGGGCCGCAGCACCCTCCGGAGTCTTCTGACCCGACTTGGCCCTGCCGCGGAATGGCTTACCAGGCCCCTTTTCCGGCAGTCGCCGGTTTCTCCGCCCAGACATCGTCTCTGGGCGCTTATCGCTTGTGCCCTAGTGTTTCTTCCAGCCGTGTCAGCACCACCCGTGTCTCCCCAAATCTCCCCATTATCTCCCCCCCCCCCGTCCCCACTCCAAACAGACATACCAGGCCACTTGGTGATGGCCTACAACCCGCCAAAGAAGAGGTTAACCTGGCAGAACCCTTCTTGTGCCAGATAGAAAATTCTGCCCTCCAAGAAACCCGACCACCCCCGTGGCCCACCCCCACATATGCCGGCCTGTACCCTCCTTTTGTGTTGCCCTGCCTGCATTCTCAAGGGTGGGGGTTGGGTTACAGTACTTTTGAGTACTAAGGTCCTGAGTCACTCTAAACCTTTGTGCCAGTGTGCTAGGGTAGTGGTGTATAGGCTGTGGCCTAATTTGAAGATAGCCCTCTCCTACTTCTGATATAATGATTGCCAAGGGCCCGCCCCCATTCTGATTCAGGATAACATCTTTGTCATCACTTGCACTCGCCATCTACCATGAGGTCCCAGTTGTCCCTGCTGTCATCCCAATGCCTTCAAGACTGGGAACTGACATACAGTTCCCTGGGCAGGTGGAAGAGAAGGAACAGAATCTTGGCCTCACAGCCTGCCTTCCCTGTTAGCTTATTCAAATGGAGTGGTTTAGGGATATTGGTGGATGCTGGGTAATGAGGTAGGGTGGTCACTGCTTCTGTCTGCAGGCCAGGAACGAACCAGATGTTTATGAAACCAGCGACCTACCTGAGGATGATCAAGCGGAGTTTGATGCGGTAAGACCATGTGCTGCTTCAGGACTCCTCTGGACCCTAACCTCTCTCCCCTAGGCAGACCCTTTCCCTTTTCTGGTGAGCCACAACAATAAGCGGGTATGCCAACCCAGCCTGGGAGGTATGTAGGTTGCAATGAGTCATGCCAGGAAGGAGATTGAAGTCAGTGGAATTATAGCCAACAAGTCCTGATCCTTGGGTTTTTTAAACAAAGTCGAAATACCTCTCAAAACAGTTTAGTTTGGGGCTAGTGATTTAGGTAGACCTCTGGATGCTAATCCATGGTAATGAATCATGGAGTCTGAGCACTTACAGACTACTTGAGGTTAGGAACTAGGCCTTTGATTTCATAAAATATTTCACTCAATACATGTCCATTAGTGTATCCTACGAAGAGCTAGATTTTGAAGTATAGAGGAATACACTTTTACATGAATACCCAGTATCCTTTGAGCAAGGAGTGAGAAAATGATGTGGAGATTGTAGAAAGATAAGGAATATGGTCAGAGAAAAAAAAATTGAGAAAGAACATAAATATTTCATATCAGCAAAGGAGAGTGTCTTAGCACTTTCAGATCTAAGATGAACTCTGAGGAAGGAATTAGCTGTGGACACATTTTAACCATGAGGGGAACCACTTAGCATTGTTTATTGAATGTGTTCATTCTGTGTCGGTTTTTGTGCAACGCAGAGGAATAAATGTCCCTACCCTCAAGGATCCCCCAGACTAGTGAGGGAGTTAGGATACATATAGGAAACATGTAGTAAACAAAATTAAGTGAATGGAAACCAACACAGTAAAAACTTGTATGTTAAGGGCCAAGGAGAACAAAGGTCTACTAGTAAAGCGTGTCTTACAAGATGTGTTTTAGGTTCTATTCCAAAGAGAACTGGGCTGAGGTCACATGGATGATAAAGCAGGCTCAG